AGTCGTCGCAATTGGAAGAGAACAAACCGAAAGCTCGGAAGCTACGCATAGCTTCCGATATTAATGGAGCACAATAGCCAGACATTCCCAGCACGGATAACGCATTTATGAGTGTCCTGGCGATTATCCAAGAAACAGGGAGGCCCTACAAGAAGCTTTGGGCACAATGCAGAGGTCATTTCTGACTCAAGTCAAGCCGTGCCTGAACATCCAGAAACGCGCTGAGTCAACAGTGCAACATAGCGACTAAGAACCTTCCTGCATTACTTTCACGGCAAAGAAGATATGGCCAGGACGAACGAATTCGATACCACGATCGTACGTCCTATATTTTTCGTCCAGATACATTGGCTCCAGCCAAGTCAACCGAATCCAAAGTGGATCCGGGTTCTGCTGTGAAGTATTATGCGCTTCGAATTGATGCATTTCCTCGGCATTCCAGTAAGCAAGTTTCGTCCAACAGGCACTGTTATCTATGGAATTCAACAACTATCGGGTCAAAGACCAAATTGGGTATAAGATCCGGGTGAACGTGCAAATGGGTAGATCTGAAGACAGAGAGTCACGGTGTTATGTACTCGATGTGGAGAATTCGTCACAACTTACTATTCGGGTCGGACCTGATCCATAGTAATGTGATAAATTCCCTCCCTACTGTCCAATAACAGTGTTTGAAAGTATGTCGACACTGACAAATGAGGTTAGGACGGTGGTACGCGGATAAGCACCATTAGGTATGAGAATTATTTCAGGACCGATTCTGCTCGCTTAATGGGTAACAAGAATCCGATACTCAAATCGCATCGGCTCCAAGGGACCAGACAGTCCGGAGAAAGTAAGCTGATTCTGAAGCCGGATTCGATTACAATGGCGGTTTTGTTTTAAATGACATTTTTGTACCCTTTGTAATCAATCTTGACGATGAACAATCGTCAGATGGAGCGTTGTAACTGGCAACTTGCCGATATGCAATAAAAGATGATTTAGAGTACTCCTTGTCTCTTGATGATGTGAATCAAAGAGCTGTATGCATAATCCTGAGTTGTATATGGCCGATCCGATCGTGCCCTATGTAAGCAAAGGAACGCCTCCAGCCATTGCTTTCGGAACAACCATGGTCATCCCGAACAAAGTAAGAGCGCTAAGAAGAAGTGATTTACGGTAAAGGAAAAAGCTCCTCCGTTACGCAAGATCATTTCCTAAGTGAAGAGAAAAGAATGATGACAAACCTGGTCGACATCTATTCCAGTATAGTCCAGAAGCGCGAAGCGTCATGGAAAAGGCAGGGTACGATTTCACACTCCGGAGAAGGTTTATACCTTCGATTCGAGGTCTCGTAATCCAGCCAAAAGCGGTAATATTGTACAAAGGGAAACCCTGAGGATTATTATAAATATTGGACGAGGCTTAAGGTTATGTTTTCATCAGAGTGACGAATGTGGTTGGCAAATTACTCGATCAAGTTGCTAACAAGGCCAAGAAGGGGTACATACAGATTTACTTCAGGCTGAGGATTCACGATACTAAGTCTGGGAATCGGAAGTTTTCAAAGCCGCT